TTGTATCATTTCAGGAGTTTTCCTCTTTGTAGAGAGCAATATATTATAATCTATAATTTTCTTGATCTGAGAAAAATTAAGTAAAATATATCTATCTTGTGCATATTTCCAGATAAACACATTATCTCCTTTCCTGTTCCCCACCCCAAAACACACACACACACACACACACACACTTATTAATACACGAGAATGTTATCTCCTCAAAGATATCTAATTCTTCCGCACCCCATTCCTGATTATTGTCTTTCAATATATTTCAAATGTAATAAAAACTTTATAATTTTTGATTATATAGTATTTGTAACACCAGTATATGTGGGGGAAAAACAATAAAAATAATTACAGTATAATGAAGCAGAGCATTACCCTAAGAATAGGGAAGAAGTCCCATCATGCAGTTAAAAGAACAATGGAATATACCTAATGGAATGGGATTTCAATGGCATTGTAAGAATACTTGATCTGTGTTACTAGCAAGTAATACTCTATAAAATACAAGAATTTTTAAAATGTACAAAAAAAGAAGGGATGGAATATACAAAAAAAAAAAAAAAAAAAAACTACAAAAAGCCAGGTGCAGTGGCACATATCTGTAATCCCAGTGGCTCCAGAGGATAAGGCAGAAGGATTACAAGTTCAAAACCAGCTTCAGCCATTTAGGGAAGTCCTAAGCAATTTAGCAAGACCTGTCTCAAAATGAAAAATAAAAAGAGCTGGGGACTGGCTCAGTGGTTAAGCACCACTGGGTTCAATCTCCTGTACCAAAAAATAAGCAAGCAAACAAAAAACCCTACAAAAATTTTAACACCAACATTGGGTTTTTAAAGTTCTTAAGGCTAAAACCTCTCTTCCTATTTAAACTTTGTCTTGAAAAACAGTTCTCAACTCCTCCATCCCCTAAGTGATGCCAAAAGGCAGCAGATGGTATCCTGTTAACTAATTGTAGAAAACTCAGTTGAAATTCTATTTTACTTTTTATCCTTAGAGTTATGCAATTTACACAGACCTAGCAATCTTAAATAATAATTAAAAATGATGATATGAATTGAAATGATTGATATGAATTGTACCCACTTTAAAAAAGACCACTTGTAGTTGCTCTATGGTTCAGGTGTCAGATAAAGCTTCACAAAGACAATATTTTTTTTAATTTTGTTCACTAGTACATACACAATGTCAAGCACAATACCCAGCATATATTAATGACTTGACAAATGTCCCTCACAAAAATTCCAAAAATCTATTTTTGAAGTTGAACACATGATCACTAGGAGGCAGTATCAATTCACAAAGACCGTCCAAGCTTTGTAATTACTAAGTTCTTACTATACAGAATAAGGAAAATCACATCAAAGCATTTGATTAGGGCTGGAATATAGCTCAGAGGTACAGTATTTGCCTAGTATGTCAATGCCCTGAGGTTCAATTCAATCCCCAGGATTGCAAACCAAAAAAAAAAAAAAAAAAGCATCTGACCAAATTTTACACAAATAATAATCCCTATAAACAAGATGGTATTTAAAAACTAGATATTTTGCAATTAAATGCATTTGTTGCTGCTTGAATGAGAGCACTATGCTGTTTAATGGATCAGTATCAAGCCAGATAGATGGCTTTGACATAAGTTTTTTCAGTTACATGTAAACTGAAAGCAATTTAACCAATTTGCTCATGACTTAAAAACTGAGACTAATAGCCCAAATTAAAAAAAAAAAAACATTAAAATGATTAGAAATAAATCTATTAAATGAGGTAGTGAGTATAGAAGTTCAGAATGAATAGATTCTTTTCTATAGTAAAAATCTTCAGAATGTTCAAATTCCTGGTCAAAGATGTGCCTGCTCTAGGAGCACATTTAATTCTCTAGCATATTTGTTAAAATAGTGTTTTCATTTAATTTTTTTTTTTTAGTTGTAGATGGACCTTTTTTAAAAAAGTTGTTTATTTTTTTATGTGGTTCAAACCTAGTGCCTCACACATGCTAAGCAAGTGTTCTACCACTGAGCCACAACCCTGGCCCAAAATAGTGTTAAATTTATACATACTTTTCACATAACCAAAGTTCTTCATGATTTATATACTCAAGTTTCTTGTAGAGGATATGGTTACCAGTGAGACAGACTGAAAAATGAAAGTGACAAGACCCACATTTGAAACCTATCCACATTGACTTTCGAATACTATGAATAAAAGCTGTTGACTGTTAGGTTCTAGAAATCATACAAAGTGTTTTAAATGCAGTCTAGTTTTGTCACAGCCCAGAAAGATAGGTGTGATTCTGTCTTAAGGATTCTATGGGGTAGAGACACATCAGCATACACACATGCTAGCTAGGTCTTTTAATAACTCTACCATGCTTTCTTTTGCTATTAGCAACTATTCCTTTTTGTCCTAGTACAGATCTATTGAACCACAATCAGAAAATAGGGCCCAAGAATAAAGCATTTCAGTGAAAGTGGCCCACAGGACAGCTCTGGGAATTGTCTTAGACCTAAGTATCTCTCTGTGGGACTTCTGATGCCCCCCCATGAGATCATACTTTCTGTATTAAGTACAAAAACCAGGTTGAATTAAGATTCCCATTACTCACTAGTGCTATCTCTTGTAAGGCATTTAACTCTGCTAAGCTTCAATTACCCAACGTGTAGAATGATCACTGTTGTAAGCACTTAGCATCATGTTTGACACGATATGCATTGAGTGGGAGAAAAAAAAAAAAGGTATCTACTAATTTTGAAGGTGAAGACCAAGAACAGACTATATTACTAGTTAAGAGTTGCTATATAACTCTGACTACTACACAAAGCAGGTTCACATGTCTTTATGAAGACAGTTTATTACTTCTTATTCACATGGTAAATATTCCATTACTCATCTAAGACAAATAATATAGTTATCTTATGTTTGCTTTAAATACCACCTAAAAGTTGTTTTTTAGTCCTACTTTCATCTCATATTATTAGCTTAAAACTTCAGAATGGTTTTTATAAATGTTAAGTAGGACATTTCAGTAAAGCAGATACTAATAAAAATTTAGTATCTCTTGTTCTGGGATCAAGATTTGTAATATTTAAGCCAAAATTGTCAGTATAAAGCCATTTAAGTTATCAAAGTGCTCCAACCTAAAAGCAAAGTTATTATTATATATTTTGCAATGCTGGGGATTAAATCCAGGGCCTCATACATGGAAGGCAAGCACTCTACCTGCAGGCTATAGGACTGGGAATCCAGTCCAAGCAATGTTAAACTATTATTTTAATTTTTCCTTTTCAGGAATTTTTTTTTTAATTGCCCCTTTTTTGTTTAATTGCCCCTTTCAAATAACTTTAAAGAAAATATCTTGCCAAGAAATACTTGTAATTCCTTCTTAAGTTGGTTTTAGATTGTGCCTTGTGCCTGTGTCAAGTCACAGAGGTTAATTACAGGTTAAACTTGAGTCTCAATAAGAAACTAATAACAGAATTTAAGTTTCATTAAATATATAAAAAAAAACATGATATTGCATATAGATCACATTACCACATATGGATGTTGTTCCCTTACAATTTTCATGCAAAAAGAAATCCAAGAGGATATATCACATTAGAAACCCATCAACAGGAGGGTGATGACTATGGTTTGTGTTTATGTATTTACATGTTATTCGTGTTGCTACAACAAGTATTTTGGGAGATCTGACTCTGGATTTCATTTGTACTATCACAATGAATTTTTTTTCTTACAAAATGAATGTTCTGTAGTTTTAATTATTGGAATTAGTTCCACTGAAACAGAGTATCTATTTCATAGTCCCTAACTAAACTTATTTGCTTTGCCCACTTTGCATCACTTTCATTTTATTACTAAATAGATTATAAAACCTATGTGAGATTATCATTGTGTGAAAAAATACCCAAGAAAAATGCTTATAAAAGGTAAAAAGATTTATTTTGGGTCATGGTTTGAGAGAATTCAGCCCAGGTTCAGCTGGATGCATTGTTTCTGGACCTATAGTAAGGCAAAACAAGGCAGGGAGCAGGTGGTAGAGAGACTTGATAACCTCACAGCAGCTGGGAAATAGCGTGCAAGTGGACAAGGACAAAATTCTTGAGAATTCCCCCAGTGACTTTCCTCCTCTGAAGCTCCACTACCTCTCAATAATGCCATCACATTATGAATCCATCAATGCATTCATCCACTGATGAGGTTTGAACCCTCATGATCCAGTGACTTTCCCAAACCTAAGAACACTGTTGCATGGAGACCAGGACCAAGTCTTCAATTCAGGAGCTTTGGGAGACATATCAGATCCAAACTTTAACAACCTTATACCACTACAAAGGCCAAATATTTAGGAATAGCCAATACTAGTTAATCTCTTATCTTCCCAGATGTCTTTCCCTCCTGAACATCAACTAAGTTATTCTAGGGTGATGGTGATTGCTGACCAATGAAAAAACAATCCCAAATTTTTTTCTTATAAGGTTTGTTCCTGTATAACTCAAACTATCATGTCTTAAATTTTAAGTATTTTAAAAAATGTGACTGAAACTCACCTCTAAATTCTTTGAACGGATCCATTCCAAAAGCCCTTTACAGAATTTATACAAACTGGCCACTATTTCTTCTTACTCTTCTTATAGTTTAAGCCAAACTGTGGCCTTCAAGCAATATCCAGCCTGGTGCCTGTTTTTGTACAGGAAGTTTTATTGGAACACAGCCAGGACTACTCATTTATACATTATCTACGGCTGCTTTTGTGTTACAACAGCACAGCTGAGTAACTGTGACAGAGACCAAATGGCCTTCAAAGTCTAAAATATTTACTATCTAGATTTTTACAGAAAATGTTTGCCAACCCCTATTTTAAGCACTTCCACATTGGGGAGAAAAAACAAACTAAAAATGAAATTTATAATTCCCATCACAAAGAAACACTTTGGTCTACACATGAATTAATAAGAATTTCTGTTGGCTAGCCTGGATTATCTAAACACTACTTACATTGTTTCTTCATATTCTTTCAAAAAACAAGTTTATTTCTGAGATCAGGTTTAGAGAAGTAGGAAAGTTGTTGGCAATAGCAAGCATTGCTCCAAATTAGACTAAAGGTTTACATACCCACATTTAACAACAGTAAAATTTTCAATATTAGAAATCTTAAAATTCTTAAAAATTAAAAGCTACAATGGAATTTATATTTTCGAATAAAACAGTTTATAAAATTCATTATTAATGTATTCATATTACTTTCAGATCTAATGCATTGGGTGGGCCATCCAAGGATTTTACCAACAATCTTTTTAATCAGTTCTATCTTTCCTGGTCATCTTTAATATTCAGTTCTAATTTTTGGCCCAATTTATTAAATTTTTATTAGTACTTTTTCTTTGCTCGATTAAAGACATTTTAACCACATCTCTGAGTGCTAGGGAGCAACTTTTTAAAGTACTGGTAAACCACCACTAGTTCAGTGGGATAAATGCCAATGGCTTGAATACCTGTAGAAGACAAGATATACTGTCTAGTGACTTTCTTTAAAAAAAAAAAAAAAAAAATTATGAAAAAAACACATATAGCTTGCACTACTGAGGTTATTTGTGTGCACAATTTATATAATGCAACATTTCTCTTTTCAACTAGTTTTTCATAAATATTAAAATATCACAGTACTGATTTTTTCTACGTTTTCAGAATCAATAGATTTCCACATCATTTAAGAGAAAAATAAAACCAAGCCACCACACTTATAATTTAGGCAAAATATTTTTTCAATAAAAATGTAGAAATATTTTAATTTACATATTACACTGAATCAATATGAAGTCAAAATTCACAATTACATGTTCCTAAAAATTCCAAACATCTTCCTCAGAATAACTGGTTTCTGTACAAGATTTAGATGTCCAATATACGTAGTTTTTCCTCAGTGTGCTACAGAATTTAGAGGTTCTGCTCGTATATTCCCCAAGTCAAGCGCAGAATCTGTCTCTTCATCAATTTCTCCAATGACAGCACTATAATTATTTATGGAGGGGAAACAAAAATCAGAGTTGAAATAAACACATTTCTTAAATATATTCATGTGTATTTCTGAAATTTATTAATCAAATCAAAGCACTTGGCATCATTCTTCCAACACATATAAAACTGAACTACTTAAGATAGAAAGTAAACAATATTTTCATGAGTTAGTGAACTGCACATTTAAGTGTCAAAATGAAGGTAACATTATTACAGGAAGCAATATTAAAAGAATACTGATAAATGTTAAAAAATCAGCTGTTTGGAGAAAAAGTGAGAGGCTGATTTATAGCATTTACTAATATTCTTCATGCAAATACTCCCACCATGGCCAATTTCAAGCTACTACAGACATCAATCAATTAGTTTGCAAAATTCTTGAAAATATAACAATCTGTTTCATGAATCAGACCAAAATGGCTCTAGCACACCAATAGGTCTAGGCCAAAGATTTAAATTTTTTTATTACAGTAAGAGTAACTTTATTCAGAACAATTATTACACATATCCCAATATAAACAATCATTGTTGTTGTAGTCAGGGGATCTGGGTCCAATCTGGTTTGCCTCTCTTTCTTTACAACTTATTTGTAATTTCACCTAAAAATCATCTCTATATAGAATATTTTATAAATCCCCAATTTGTTTAAAGATCAAGTTATCTATGTAAAGGTAATATTAAGATTTTAAAAAATATTACTTCATCTTCTATATTTTGCATATCCCCCAAATAACCTAAAATTGCATACTGCCTTCCAATCATACTTTGATGTATAAAGAAGTAAAAAATTACCTTATGATGACTTTCTTAAAAATCAGGGCAAAAAACAGTTTTCATGACTCTTCAATGAATTTTCCAAAAATATTAAAAAACTTGCTAGAAAATTTTATTTAACATTTTTTCTAGCCTCTATAACTGTACTAATACTAGCCACATGTGACTATTAAAAATGACAATTAAGTAATATTTAAAATTTAATTCTTCAGTTAGGTCAGCGCTTTTCAAATGTTTAAGAGCCCCATATAGCTAATAGCTAACATTTCAGAAAACACCAATATGCAAATTTCGAATCATCTGAAAAAAAATCATTCCAGTCAGCACTGTTCTACATAGTTCTGGATTTTCCTTAAACTGCTACTTCTAAAATAATCTTAATCTGGATTATTAGTGTGTCCCAAGTTAACTGAGACCACATAAACATGGGATGTCTTCAGTGTGTCAATTATACTTTAAAAATTAATGAACTATAAATAAGCATGAATTATTTAAAATTGTTCAAAAAGGAGATTTCAAAGACATTTTTAAACCCTAGGAGTGTATTTATGTTCCTCTGAAATTCAGAGTATTTGGAAAAACGCTTTAGAAAGCTTCTACTGAAGTATTTGGTGTAAGGAAGCACCCTTTCTAGACCCTATTCAGGTCATTTAACTATTAGAAATTTGGACAAATCTAAGTAGGTCAAGGTTTAATTTGTAAAAAGATCATTTAGGTTAGCTCCTGAAAAAAATCAACATAAAATGCATAAATTTGCCTTATTTTAAACAAATATAAGAAAAGCCACATTTATAAAATGAATGCAACATTTTATGATCTACATATGAATGATATGGTATGATATTTGGGAAAAAAATCTCTATTCCATAAAGCAAGGAAGCATACCTATATTATAATTCTAACCTAACTTGAAAGGATATATTTTACAAAGGGGTAGGGATGCAGCCAAGTGGTATAGTGCTTGTCTAGCAATCATTACTACTGCCAAAAGAAAAAAAAGGAAACATATTTTACTTACACATTGTCACCTCTTACAATGTATAGTCCTAGTACTACTTGCTCTACTCCCTGTGAAGAGCTAAATACTCGTTCATGGCTTTCATCCAAAATCAAATTAATGGTTTGGTCAAAACCTTTCAGTGTTCCCTAAAAAGAAAACATACAAGAGAAATATTCCAGTTTACTGAATGTGCAAATTCAACCTTAAAACTACTGTAGTTATCTGTAAATTGCCTATCTTAAATATAAGTTCATTATTTTCTTTGTAACCAACAGTATTCCAGGGCACAGAACTCACCTTTATGATAAAGAAAAAAAGGTTCACCACATATTTGACTAGTGTGCAGAGTTGAGAGTTACAAAAGATAGTATTACCAGAGTACTTCCTAATAAGTTTCATAGAGATCATGTAATCCAATAGTTAACATTCTAAAAACAAAAATTAAAACAAGGGAGATTTAAGGAAAGATCATGTATAAATAAGAGGTATAAACATGCATATCAACTATAGCAAATTAACAGTATCATTACAAGCTACACACTAGTGCAAGGTACTGTACTACATATGCTGCACACATTATCAACTAATTTCTACCCTTTGAGGTAAAACCATAATTATGCCCATTTCAAAAAAGAAAAACTGAGGCCCACAGAAGTATCTTTCAAGGTCTCCTGGAGAGTAAGTAGCAGACCCAGGTACCAAACCACAAAAGGCTAGCTCCAGAGTCACACCACTGAACCACTACTTATTATTATAAATAAATGAATATAAGCTATCATTTTTCTGAGACTGAAATTTATCCCATAAATACATACAAACTTCAAATGGTAGTTACAATACTTTATGAGTTCTTTCTAGCTGCCAGTATTCTGTGTGCCTCACATGTATTATTTAATTCTCTCAATAATACAATGAAGTAGATACAAATATAACTCTGATAATTAAACCAGAACTTGAAAGAAATAATCAGGAAAAAGTTTATGGTTTTAAATAAGGAAGACATGGTCCTAGACAAACACAGTGACTCAGATGCTATTCAAGTTTCTGAAGAATCATCAACTTATATTGATTTTGAATGGTTAACCTCTCAAGATCACTGTTAAATGTATCATGATTTGAAAATCAAAATACATAAAATCAGAAGGTAGTAAGGAAAAACTCAGAATCTAGAATTTGTAAGAGAAACAAAATTTGGAGTAATTGCTATACTAGTTAGCAAATGGTTGTTGTTATAACACCTATACATAACTTCCCAGCTTTATTTTACACAGAACTACTGTAACAAGTAACTATATGTCAAAGAAATACAGAACTATTGAAGTTTAGGACTAAAAATTATCTTTTTATATAGCTTTCCTTCCTCTATAAAATTAACTTTTCAATTTACTATCTACTCTGCTAACAAGAATAAAAATTTAAATGAGGTTTTCTCAAAATAAAAAATTATTTGCAAGTATCCATTAATAGCAATAGGCTTCTTAAAGCCTATCAATAGTGGCACATCATTAGGTGATTTCATTGTTAGGTAAAAATCATTAAGAGTGTCCTTATACAAAGACAGTTACATCACTATTGACATTAAAATATTTCAACTGTCCATATTTGGCAAAATAGAATGTGAGGTACCTAAAAAATTCATGGCTGCTTCCTTAATTAAAGAGAAAGAAAGGCAATCAACCTAGGTTTTGGAAACAAACCCAACTTAAATCCTCATTTGGTTCTGTCACTTATAATGCTGTTTCTCTAGGATAAGGACTCACTCTCTGAGCTTGGCTCCTAACTTAGAATACAGGGATAATTCTTCACAAGGTGGTAGTGCAGACTATATAATAACAAAATGCCTGGCACATGCTATGCATTTAATAGTCCAGCACTTTGACTAACAGCAGTCACTAAGGATCTACTGAGAATTACAAGGATTATAAAGAAAGAAATAAAAGACTGTAGAATGAGTAAACAAGGAATTATAGTCATGCACTGCATGACAATATTTCAGTCCAGAATGGGCTAAAAATAACTACAATGGGACCATAAGATTATATCACCTAGTGATGTCATAGCTGTCTTTGTGTAAGCACTCTTATGATGTTTGTACAATGAAATCACCTAATGGATCCACATTATTAAGGAACATATATGTACATCCATATACTATCTAAATCATAAGTTTCCAAGAAAGATCCACAAAATTCAAAAAAAAAAAAAAAAAAAAAAAAATATATATATATATATATATATATATATATATATATATTATGATTGCCTGTGAATACTAGAGCACTAAATGGGGAAGGAAATAAAAAATGGAAGAGGAAAATAAATAACTATAAGATACAGATCTGCAGATTAGAAGTTGTCTAAGAGCACAACCTATTATTCTATTTACTAGATGCCCTGTGCTATACACTGAATGTTTATTTGTAAAGAAAATATGGATCAGCAGCAAAGAGATAAAGAGCTGAATCAAAATTAAATTGCAACACAAGTATACTATGGTGCTTAAGCATCAGAGATCAGGTTTCCAATATGACCACAAAAAGCAGAGAATGAAATGTCAAGCACTTACCACAATCATTCTCCCATCAGAAGTAATAACAGCAACAGTTCCTGATAACTGAATCAAGGAAAACATTTTTTACAGAATGAAAACTTAGATTAGGTACAGGAATCGTTTGAATTACTAGAAAAAAAGATGAAGAATCTAAATCCACCTATTTAACACATTCACTATGTTCAATAAGTTCTTCCCTTGATAATTAATCAGAAAGCCCCTCTTCACCTTCCCTCAAAAGAGAAAGAAAACAAAACAAAAAACCTTTTTATATGATCAGCATATACTGTCACAGGTGGAATTAAATTTGGCACTTTTTTTTTTTTAACTAGAAATGTTGACAATCAATGATTCTGAGTAACATATTTCCCCCTTAGGACTACTAATTCATTTTCAAAATGTTGCACGATTTCAGGTACATTAAGACACTTGTCTTCCAGGATCTGACTTGTGGAATTCAAAAGAAAAGAAGCTGTAATTAACTTCACAGGATATTAACCATACATCCATCAATAAAAACTTTCAGTATTTAAGTCCCCAATTTGTCCTAGGACTTTAAAACAGTAACATTTGCAAGACTACTTAAAAACTTCACAAGTTTTTTTTTTTTTAAGTTATTTCTTCTTCTTTTTTCTTTTTAAAGTTATTTAACCTTTTAGAATAGCAAGCATGTTTTTATTCTACCAACAAGTTGAGACTTCAAGTAGAATGGAGCAGAAATTCAATTTGTGGGACAACTTTGCTATCTTCAAACAAAGAGCAAAGCCTATGAATAAAAAAATACATAGACTTACAAAACATTACAAACATCACTAGGACAACTGTTCATCTTATTTCCAAACTTGAACATAAAAGAGTAAGAATGAATCATTATAGGGTTTTTATATAAACAAAAATTCTGAATGATTACACTAAAATTAAAAAATGCCTAGGGTCCAAAGGCTCGGCTGGCCAAGCCCCCAACCAGGGATTGGCGGGTCGGAATACTAAGCCCCTAACCCTCACCCAGACCGCTCGCGGATCCCTACCCGCTGCCTCCCTCGCAAGGGTCCCGCTCCAATCCCCACGGGAACCCCGCCGTGGCCCCGGAGCTTACTGCAGCGGGCTAGAGGATACGGTTGATGTAGTTCTCCAAAGCAGACGTCATGCTACTAGGCCCAGAGGTTCCAGGCAATGATGCAGAGCAGGCGACAAACAGAGCTAAAAGTGCCCGCCAGAACCAAGCCGCGGCTCGCGCCCACCGGCGGCAACAAATATCGCGAGATTTGCCTCACGACAGCAGCCGCCGAGTCGGAAATTGAAAGGAACCGGCCACCAAACAGGAAGCAAATCAGTGATGAGCTTGTGCGCATGCGCAGTGTGTTTCCACTACTTTTCCGGGCCGTGATCCGGAAGCCGAAAAGCTCGAAAGCCACCGACAAACGAAAGAAAGGAAGAGCCTTCTTGAAAATGGGGTAGGAGGCAGTTGGTGGGAAAAGGCTGGTAGAAGCTACCGGCGGAAAAAATGGAAAGAAAAGGCAGGCAGGAAGAAACGGAATGAGGTGTTTTCCTTACGAATGAAGAGCGGTGTTCAGTTCTTATATAAAATATACGTGCAGGGAAGTGGAATCCCTGTTTTTTTCCACCACGGGTCGAATATTAAACAGAAAAAAAGAAGTTTAGTGGCCTAGGACATCTTGTGCATGTTTAAGTAAACGATGTACATCTCTGGAAAACCCAGCAATGAAAAGCATGTGTATTCTGTGTTGGACTCTAAAAGTACTCCAAAATGGAGGCATTGTTAACTTCTTTAAGAAACTAAATCCAAATAAGGTGTGTAAGATGACCATGTTTCTACCACACCATGAGGGCTACCTTTTTTTCAGGATGAAATTTAAAAAAATAAAATAAAATAAAAGGCTACTGCACTTCCGTGAAAGGATTGATTAAGCAAATGTGTAATAGTTACGCACCAGACTGGGTTCTAGTCCTTGCTCTGCTGTTTGTCGTTTTTGTACAAGGCATTTCACCTCTTAAGGGCCTCAGTTTCCTGAGATCCTTCCACAGCTATCATTTGAGATTTCTACATGAGACCAGAAAACGTCACAGTTCCTCCTTTTTTTTTTTTTAACTGTGGTTTTCTAACTTCAAAGGGCTTAAAGTTTAGGAACGCTGGCAGAAAGGATTTCCCTTTTTCACAAAATATCTTTATGATTTTCTTTTTTTTTTTTTTTTTTGCTTAACTGAAGAATTGTGGCTTTGAAATATCTTGCAGTGGTGGTAGTTTTCCTCTGAAAATTGAGGCTTCTCTCTTCATTAGAGCTTACCCACAAAATATTATAACCCCAATAGTTAACATTTTACAGGCTTTTGAAGCTTTATATAATCAGGAATTAAGTGATGAGTGTCCCATGTTTTGTAGGGGACAGATAAAATTTCATACATGAGATTTGCAAAGGTTATGCATTGAATTAAAAGAAAACTGAAGTACCAATTAATGATAGAATTTTTTTAAATAACCGATGTGTCCAGGTAGATTTTCATCTCTTAGAATATGCTTATGTTAGGAAAACTTTATTAAATAGTAACTTAAGAAGTAATTTCATCGTAAATACATTATAAGCCCATGAACCTTATGTAGTTTCCATAATATTAATATGCCAAATAAGTAGCAGATTTGTGGAGTTTATAGAGCATGCACAAAATCTCTTTGGTTTGAAATTTATTTTACATATGTCTTAAAACTTATTTTCTGTGGTCTCTAAGGATCACAAATGTGTAGAGTGTGCATATGGATAAAGAAAAGTCCATTTATTAGGAAAAAAAGTTACATATTGTTGCAAACATTACATTTGTGATTTAATTTAATTAGTCTTGTAACCCTGGGAGTAGATAAGAGAGTTTAACATCTTATAAAGGAAAGTTAAAGTTCCAAAGAGAAAAGAAAATTGATGTGTGTATGTGTGTGTGTGTGTGTGTACGTGTTGTATACATGCACATCCAGACAATCTGACAACTCAAAATTTGAAAGATAACAGACTTTCAGTTTAATTTGAGTTGCAATTTCTAAAAGTCCTCACTTAAATTATGTTCTATTGGTGGTAAAGCATGAACCAAAGTATGCTTTAATTTATTTCTGAAACTCAATCTTGGGCAAAAAAACATTAACCTGAAGAGTAAAACTCCTACTAGAATCTTAGAAAACTGAACTTTCACTTCCTTGTGAATAGTTAAGAAAAAAAATCACAACGGTAATTTGAAAATTAAAATAATATTTTAACATGATGAGAATTTTTATTTTTTACTGATATTCCTACAAGTTGCAAAGGTATCAATAAATAAATACTGAATATTTCTATCTAGGGTTCTCTTCAGCAAAAAAAGGACATATATAAATAATGATTCTCTTTTTACAAGGACATTTCTGAGTAGTTACAGAGCTTTAGTTATAAATGTATAATAATAATACATGGAAAACAATACCTAATTATAAATAAAGCAACATAATTTATATAAACTCTTAGTTCATGTAACAGTATAAGTTATAATTTACACATAATTTTTTTTCCATGTCTTTATTAAGACAGATGTTTTTAAGTCTGTATCTTAAGGGATAGAAAAAAGGCTATTCCAAGTGACATTGAGAATCAGTATAGGATCATGATTAAGAATGTTAGCCTGAGGGTATAAGTTGGTGGTAGAGGGCTTGCCTAGCATGTGCAAGACCGTGGGTTCATTCCCTTCGTGGGGGAAAAATTGCTCAGTAAGAACACTAGCTTATGATTGAGCCAGTCTCAAGGATGTACAGTCACAAGTTATTTGTACAGCAAATAAACATTTGAGTACTGTGTTTCTCCAGGTCTGCATTGGTGCAATCAGTTAATTATGAAATAAACTGAATTACTTGTCCTTCAGAAGAATTATAGTGTACAAAAAATTAAGGATGAGTCAACTAATCTTGCCTAGTATTCTAACATTGCTCCCTTATTTAATAATCACATGTGAATTTATACATATTATTAAAAAACAGTGCTCTAGCACAGCAGACATCAATATTCCAGAAGATCTGGATTTTAAATACAGTAAATCTGCCCCTATTTTACTTCTCTTTCCCTGTGGTTCACATTCTCTTTTAGCACCAGGTATTTTTTTTTAAATGATATTTATTGATTTTTTATAAATTTTTTTTTAGTTGTAGATGGACACAATACCTTCATTTTATTTATTTATTTATTTATTTATTTATTTATTTATTTATTTATTTTCATGTGGTGCTGAGGATCAAACCCAGTGCCTCACACATGCCAGACGCTACCACTGAGCCACAACCCCAACCCCTATTTATTGATTTTTTTTTTTTAGCATTTGGTAAATTTGTTTTGTTTTGTTGTACTGGGGATTGAACCCACGGACACCTAACCACGGAGCCATATTCCCAGCCCCTTTTATGTTTTGAGACAGGGTCTCATTGAGTTGTTTAGGGCCTTGCTAAATTACTGAGGCTGGTTTTGAATTTGCAAACCACCTGCCTCAGCCTCCAGAGCTGCTGGGATCACAGGCATGTACCACCATGCCTGGCCAGGTAAAATTTTTGGTAGACATTTCTTGCATTACTGACTTTGCCTTCAAAAGGTACCTGAATTCATGTAACTTGGGGCAACTTTATTTAGATGCCATGTAAAGAGTATGAATAATCCAAGTGAAATATCCACACCTCAACAATATAAATTACCATATGTGTGCCATCACTATAACAAAGCAGATTAAGGAACATTATTTTAAATAGTGCATGTGTTTTCTTTTTTTTTTTAATGTGTTTTCTTTGTTTGGTTTTTACTTGACTTTTAAATTGTTGTCTTGCCAGGCACTTGAATCCCAGTGACTTTGGAGGCTTAGGCTAAAGAATCACAAATTTGAAGCCAGCCTCTGCACCTTAGCAAAATCCTCAGCTCGGAGGACATCCTCTCTCAAAATAAAAAAAAATGAAAACGGCTGAGGATGTAGAGCTCAGTGGTAAAATGCCCTGGGTTAAATTCCAAGTACCAACAATAATAATAATCATAATAATCATAATAATAAATATTGTGTTTTTCAATTTGGACTAGAATACAATTAATATACTATGCATTGTGATTTTGCTATGTGTATGAAAATAATATTGATGGTGCAAATTACTTTAAGTCTAGAATCTTCAACCTGAACTCATTTCTGAGTGGTATAATCTATAAGGATTAAATTTTTCTATAGTTCTCATATGTGTAGTGTCCCTCAAAAGTCCCTGTATTAAGGCCTTACCCCCTGTGGTATTGCTCTTGGGAGGCAGTGGACCTTTAGAAGATGAGGCCAACTGGGAGATAACTTTCAGTCATTGGAGCTATGCCTTCAAACAAGGTTGTGGAACTCCAGTCTCCTCTCTACTTGGCTCATGATGTGACCATTCCTTCTAACATGTGCTCCTGACATTGTGATCTATCACCTTTCTGGAGGCCAAACCAACAGGCCACCAAATCTTGGATTTGAACCTTGAAAACTAAAATAAAGCTTTTCTTCACAAATAGCCTGTCTTGGGTATTGTAACATTTTTTTTTTCTTAAAGCTATCAATGTACGTTTTTACCTTGGTCAGCAAGGCTAATTTATTGATATCTTTTGAGAAAAAAAAAGTTAACTAACCTATGAGAGGTGAATAATATAAGAAGGTACAGAAAGATAAATGGATTGATAAAAGTGAAATATAAGAATTATATCAACAAAAGATTAGTATAAATTTAGCTTAATGGAAAGTGAATAGCTCAAATTACACTAAAACATACAGGAAGAAAAATGAAAAATGAAAACTTTACTATTTTTAATAAGGCATCTTTGTATAAGTTTTGTTATTTTGTTTCTGTAATTAAAATAGAATTAGTCTCCCACCTTTACTATGTTTCTTTCTGATCATGGAGCATAGATATTTCGAACTGAAAGGAATGTGAAGAATTTCCAAGTCCACATTCTTCCTCTTGTGCATTAGGAAATAGTCTCAAAGAATGTCAGTGACTCAGGATCACATAGTAGAGTCTGCAATGAAGACCTACTGGGTTACAGTTCACTGCTTCTTAAAATAATAATAACATGACTATTCACAAAGTAAAATTTTGAGTGTATATCTACAGATAATTAGCATATATCCATAAATATGTTCTTAACTGCTTTTGTAGGTTCAGTTTTTTCAAAGATCAGAAGGAACTGATTTCCAACTATTCCAACATAGAATGGTGTTTTCCATGTATCAATACTAGTAGGAAGAATAGAAAAAGTAAATAATGCCCCCA